TGGCCAGCTTAACACAACCTTTGGGATTTTTTTTTTATTATTCTTTTTGGATAGATGGCATGCAAGGCGTGACTATTCCAAGCCAATAAAAATTTTCCAACACTGGAACAAATGCAATGCATATTTGCCAGGTTTAATAACCTATGGCAGTCTTACTAAACAAGCTTTAAGTCCCACCAGCAGATTTTACACCAATAATACTGAAAGAGATGCTTTGTGGAAAAAATAAAAAATGTACCAACTTAGCAAAAAATAGAAAAATACAATGTATTTAACATATTCCCCAATTATCCAATGGCAATAGTCACATGTAGAAATTAAATGTAAAGGCAGCTCTCAATGGTTTCAAACAAACAGCTCTGAAAAATGACTCTGCAGGAGAATGACTGATCATCTGCTCAATGTAAAAATAATTAATTTGGTTTTCTGTTCAATTAATCAGTCTTTTAACAAATATTGTAATATTTTACTGACGTCTTAAGTGTATAGAGAATAATATTTATTTCTGGAATAGTAAAATTACCCAGAGATACAGACATAGAAGCATTCAAAGGAGAGAATCAAAATCAATAAACATTGCTATACATTATTTGTAAAATGTGAAAATAAGCAATTTTGTGATTTGGCCAATTCTTAATCACACAGTGGCTTTTAGGTTCAGTGAAAATATGATCACATACATCATAGGACAGCGGGATAATTGAATACCATGACTTGATTACAAAGTGTCCAGTCAATTCCAAATAACATTTTTCATTATAGCATGACATTAACGTTTGGCCATGCTTGTAGCAACATAGGTCTGGTTTCTTGCTACATATTTATGCAGGCCCAGAATGCAAAATATTCACAGTATTTAAATATAATAGATTAAACTATGTATATTCTAATGCTCAATGGATCAAATTAAGGAAATAATTCACCATGATTAATATATATCTGGGTTATGTAAATGATTTTGACATTTCATTTACATAATCAGTACATGTGGTTTAGGCTTTTTTAATGGAAGTCCAATGGGAAGGTAGTAATGTAGGTGCTCCAGGGACTTTCCAGTGAAAGAAGGTCCAGGGTCAATCCAATACACACTGAATGGATTCTACCTCTTAGCTCACCTGACCTACTCTGCCTTTTTAAATTAAGGATCAGTCATTTCAGACATCATTCTTTGAAAACTATTGATTTGAACTTCCAAAGAGAGCTGAAAAATGTGGCATGAAAAATGTTAAATGTGATCTTCTTCCTCCATGGGCCCATCTTTGTATTTGTACATTTCAGAAAAATTATATATCAAAATGATTAGCAAATATACAAGACATGCAGTTACATGTTAACAAGTTTGATGGGACAGGCACTCCGTAAACACAGTACGCAACAAGACAGCCAAACACAAGTATTTTAATGAGACAGGGGATGGAACTTCAACTAACATGGTTAAATCTTAGTATTACTATCTTAATTTGTGACAGGGTATGCTATTTTATTGCCTCAATGAACAATATATGTTATGGGATAAGAATTGTTTTATTGTAAAGGTTAACATTCTTCTGAAGACTTTCTATTTACGTATTTTTACTATCATTGTAGTAAAATACCTGTTTCTAGCACTAAAACAATCAAATAAAACAAGACTAACTACCCACTAAACCTATCTATTTTGACATCCTTAAGACAACTCATACAAATCCAGCTATTTTTTGTCATACAAAAAGTTGTTTAGAATAAAATGGGCCTTAATGCTGAATGGCCCTCAGAAGATCCTGAATAATGTGAAATTGCTATTAACTAATTAACCATATTGAACCCTCTTAGAAGCAAACCACATTATATCACAACCTTGATTCCCTATAAAAGTCAGCAGAAAATTTAGACAACCAAATGTCCCAAAAACAGGAACACTTCTGTTTACAGTACTGATATATTAATCAAGTTAACTGTATGGAAGTTAATCTAGTTATACACTGAGTACATAAACTATAAATGTGAGTTTAAGGTGTAAGATCTAAATGTTTTCATCAATAAGTAATATTTAAGATTTGTATTCAAATATCTCCTCATTACTTTAAATGAAAAGCATCCGGTAAACAAAACCTAGATAACAAAGGTGATATACTTATTTAGACAATTGAGAAAGTTCCACTTTATTCTTGGTAAGACCTCCACAAAAAAAAACAACAGAATATCACCTTTGTGGTCCAAGTTCAACTACTAAGATTTCCTTAAAATCTGCAATTTTTCATTTTGGAGGATTTTCACTCTTGAATTATATAGAGCGGATTATATGTGTTATTAATGTATTATTTCTCTTCTTTCCAAGAGTCTCGACCACGATAAAACATGCTGCTTAGCTGTAATATGTTCTAAACATTTGTCCACTTTAAACATATACAATTAAACATATGTTTTCTTGCAGATTTTTAACCCTGAAACAATATTTCTTTAATCCAGTCCACAAATAAATTGTGATTTTCTTTTTTAATTCTCTGACAAAATGACCAAGTCCAATAGCTGACATTATGTCGACCAAGTTAACTCTTACTTCCAGCTTCTACACTTTTTACACTTGTAGATTTTACAGATGAACGCTGTAATGAAAAGTACTGATACTTGGGGATATTTAAGAGTATGGTTTCTTTGGTGTATACATCCTATGGAAAATAAAAAAATTCTAATTCAGGTTCCAATATTCCAAAAGCAAACTAAAACACAAGGGACTGTAAAGAAAGAGACCAAAGACATCAACTCAAGCAGAACACAGAGCAACAAGCACTGTATAGATTTGTTTGGAACAGGTCTCTATCTCACAGTTACACCTGAGCCATAATTCGCCAAAAAAAACGACGCCAGACAGGAGAGGTGAGAGTTTCAAAAATAGTCAGCAGTTTAGCATGGAATCTGATGAAACTTCCAGCATTTAAATCTTTAAGAATGTAATTAGCTAGCTTTTCTACTGTCAGTTATGTGAAAATAAGTGGTGAATAACTTCATTATAATCTGCTAGACAATGCCACCTATGCTTATAGCAAGACAGCCTTTTTAAAAAAAAATAAACTGACCTTAGAACTTGGTAATATTACTAATTCCCATACACACATTGGCATTGAAATTGTGTTCTTGTGTTGTGATCAGGTATCCCAGTATGAATCAGTTATACGCTCAGAACAATAAAGTTATTTTTTTTTCCAAATTAAAACAACTTTATGGAGAAAATATGTGGTCACCCAAATTTTCTTTTCAGCCATTGAGGTTAAAGGGTTAGAAAAAAAGAAAGACCTTTAATTTGCCTTATCAGTGATAATTTAATATAAATACTAGAGGGGGATATAGTTTGTTAGAATCTCTATATATTCTTGAAAACCTAATCAGAAAGGAGATAGTATTTTGAATTTTCTTGAGTAATGTTTCTGTACTGGAAGTGCCATCAGAACTACTGATTATTTTTGCCTTTGTCACAGTGACAATCCATCCGCACACAATTGCTGTGGTGCTCTTAGTACATACTTACATTTGTTTGTGTATATATATAGCGGCCATTGAAGAACACCTAGCTCACATTGCTCCATTCTCAGTCCAGCGTTCATTCGCCAGCTTTTCCCTCCTAAGACCCAGTGATGATGTCACTGTACACTGATTTATAGTCATTGGTCAGACCCAGTTATGATGTCACTGCACACTGCCTTATCGTCATTGGTCAGCAGTACAAAATCTTACCCTCAGCAAGGCCTGTCATGCATTAGCATTTAAAGTGCACTTGAGAACTACTTTATAAACACAATATATGATGACATGTGGCTTATAATGTATGGCACAGCTCACATAAGGGAGGAGGCCAAAGCTTTCCCATGAGCACCCTAATGCAAGACATTTTTTAAACAATACAGCTGAATACAAGTGTTGCCTAAATATTAGTATTTACCCTTATGTATGGTAAACTATAGTAAAAAACAGGTTACCTTATAAAAGAAGGAATCTAATACAGTATACTCAAGTGACAACTTGAGAAACTTAACCTAACCACTACACTTAACCATGAAACTCAACCTAAAATTAAACCTTTACCTTAACATAATTCCCCAATTTAAATTCTAACTTAACTAAGTGAACACATTAATCTACATATTAACCTCAGCTAAAAAATAGTATTATTACAGTGGTTAATACTGTATTATCATTGCAATAAATACTATGAAAGATACTAGCAGTTAAAATAATGAAAATACTATCCTACTGAAATTGTCACTGCAATAAAGCTTTGGGACCTATTCACAGTATGCCAAATTATCACCGAAATCTGTGCACTGAAATAAAATAATACACTAAAATCATAGTAAATTATTATTGATAAATTAATTAAGACTGTGTGCACTGTAGTCACATAGTTTGTAATAATATTTAAGACAATCCGTCTCAATACCATTTGAGTTGTTTTTAAACAGGCAAACACCACATTAAGGGCCCATTTGCACTTGTGCATGCATATTTTTAATATGCATCTGTAAGACAGTTGTTATGCATTTTGCCATGTGCTGCATTTTACACATGTAGAAGTGCATTGTGCATGCATTTTACATGGAGAGGAGAAGTGGGAGGATACATTCTGCACATGTTAAAACTCAGTTGAGTATGCTCTAAATATATATTATATGTGATTTATGATGTATCTTTTTCAGAAGGTCTTCTCAGGAAGGTGCATAAACTGAAGCATGCTGGAACACTACACACCAAAATGTACAGCTGAAACTGTAACCTTATAACAATGATGAAGATCCCACAGTGGATTTTTTTACAAGTGCAAAAGTGATCCTAAGTGTAACTGGGCCCTTAAGTTGCATTCTTAAAAATATATATAGCATATCAAATAGCAAGTTCCAGAGGGTGTATAATTCCTATTTCATGTTGCCTTGAGTGGTTTTCTGGCTGTCATCCAGTGACATCATAAGCCAGTAGTCCAGTGACATCACAAATCAGTGCCCCATGAGAGATAATCAAGGCAAACATACCTTATCCTCCTCACTGATGTTTCGGGTAGCGGTTCTCCAAGTGATGCTGGGTAGTGGGTCTCCAGAGGCTTCACATGTTAGAGTGATCTCATTATCCAACTCCACTGCAGTCTTATTTTCAACATAGGTGATTTTAGGTTTTGCTATAGGACATAAAAACAGCATTTGGAAATATTTCTACAATATCAAAATGTACACTTTAGAATTTACTATGTACTGTAATTGGTTGCAATGAGAGAAGTTTTAAGGATAATGTAATACATTGCATGTAAACTGTAACTAAATGACACTTAGGGGGTTATTCACTTAGCTGCCGAAGGCAACCGAGTGAGTAACCGAGCTGAAGTGAAGTGAGACGAACGCTGTTTGACTATTCACTTCAGCCTTGTACATCAGATTAAATAAGCCATACACCGGCTGCCTTTTGTCAGCTGAACATGCTCTGCACTAAAGCCATAACTGCACTGCTAAGAGAAAATTCCCTTGCAAAATGAAAAGCTTATTTGCCTTTAGTAAATCAATCACAGAGTATCATAAACAAATGCAATGCTTTTTTTTCTAATAAAATACAGTTTTATTTTATAATCTGTTGTGTTGTACTCCTGATGTCCTGCAGACTCGTCATGTCTATATTCATGCTATCCAGCAATGGATACATGGTAGTTCGCAGGACAGGTTTCCTAAGAGTGGATACTGTGCCAGTGTAATGTGTGTTAAAAAGGCCATTTGTGGCCTCCATTAGAAGCTTGTACAGCAGGGTGACAATGTAAGAGTACAACTGGGAGACAGAGTGTTGTCACTCTATAACAGGAAGTGTCAGAACAAGGCAGTAATGGCAGGACCACATAGTATTACTTTAATGAAAGCTGCTGGTTTAAAAATATTGAAAATAACTTTTTAAATTACATTAACATGTAAAGGTTTATATGAGATGTTACTGATTGGGTTTACATATACTCTGAGGTGCTACATATATCTATTCAATTTTAAATAACAACTAAGGGTCTATACCAGTATACATACTGCAGATTAGACATGTGCACTGTCAAAAAATTAGTTTAGTTTAGTTTCGTTTTAATTCCGATTTTGTGTTATTTCGTTTTTCGGGATTCCGGTGTTAAAGTCAATTCGGATTCTGAATTCGGATTTCAGACGAAATTCGTAGTGGTAGTTCGTTCGAACGTTTGTTTAGTTTTCGTTTCTTATTCGGTTCGTTCGTTCGTTTACAGCAAAGTGACATTTGAAGGGGAAAACATTTTTTTCTCCTTCTCTAATGCCAGTTTGCTGCAACCAACGAACGAAACGAATATGAAACGAAAACGAAACGAACAAACTACCACTAACGAATTTTGGAAACGGAAATTCGGATTAGTTTGCATTCGTTATATCTGTAATTTGGAATTCAGATACATCCGAATTTCCGAAAAATTCGTCCGAATTTCGTTTCGGAACGAAACGAATTGCACATGTTTACTGCAGATGCAGTGAGCTGTATTGCTCACAGTCCAGACCAAAAAAGTAGGAGTCTGGAGTTCAGCACTACATGTAACTCATGCTATTCTTGTATATTTGGACTCTATTAACTCTATTATTCAGGGGTTACTAAAAGTATATAAAAAGATTACAACTAATATCCATTCTTGATGGCTTTAGGCCAGAGTAGAGCATTGTAGATCAATATCTACCATTGAGTGCTCTCACCATAAACTTTCAGAAGAATGGTAGCTTCACTGTCCCCAGCTTTATTCTCAGCAATACAGATATACTCGGCTTCATCATCTTTTTCAACTCGATGAATGGCCATCTCTGACATGTCTTCGTTGAAGGTGTATTTATCGCTGTCATCTTCTATCAGTTCTCCTCTCCTGCAGCACACAAATAAATAACGTTATACCATTTATACTTAAATAAATAGGATGATTTTCTTTCTGTTACCAACAACATTCCCATTTTTTATACACCGTTTACATTTATAATGTTGACACTGATTTTGATGGTTGATCCTCTAGGCAGTAGTAAAACATTAGGGGTTTTCAAGTCCATTCAATCCTTATGGTATAGTTCAAGTGCCAGTATTCATCCATTCGGTAAATAGTACAAGTTCTAAACACCATTCACCATTGGGTGGTATGAATGAAGCTGTGATCCTCATACTGAACATTTCTATAGTTCCTTTTTATACTGATTGGATTTCAGTAAACGCCACATTGCTCCAGCATGTGCAAAAAAAAAAAAAAAAAACTGATATCCTTCTCTTACAGTTATGACTCTTCCAGTGTACCACTATTATAATGTCATCATCCAGTGGCCAGGAGAATGTCATTCTACTAGTTGGCCATAGTAACTTCTTGCAAGCGGTTGAAAAGTAAAACATACTTGAGACATTCCTCAGTTTAAAAAAATGGGAAATACTCGGTGCACTCCGTACAGTGCTGTGTCCTCTTGGTAATAATGGGTGCTGCAGTGACAAACCAATGGATGGTGCCATTGTAGATAACCATTGCTCGAACAATTCCTCAGTTAGATACTCCAATTTAAACAAAGTTCGCCCTTTGTTTTCGACCTATTCAGCTTTTTATGATCTTATATTTTAAGCTACCAAGGTCCTGTCTACTGTGTTTGTTATTAAAGGTCTTCTTAACGGATGAATGTGCTTTGCATAAATATGAATTAAGAAACAGGGCTGTACCACGAGGGCAGCAAAGCAGGCACCCACCCAGGGTGAGCAGAAGGGTTCATGCGCAGAGAATAGAGTCAGTCAGAGAGAGAGGTCCGTGGGCTGTCTGAAGGTCACTCCTCATTTTGATGAATGGAGCTCCATCTTTCCTATTTACCTGTTTGACAGTAACAATTAATATAGATAAATATTGATACCCTCCTCACTTACTTTGTCCAGCTTAGTTCAGGCTCGGGAAAGCCTTCCGCTTCACAGCTCAAAGTAACAGACTCTCCTAAGTTGGCTGTGGCGTTTACTGTGAGTTGTTTGGCTTCCACTGTAGGAGGAACTGTAGTGAAAAAAAGAATAACAAATTATATTATCCAAAAGAAACATGTGTGTTGAGTAGGAGGGCCTACCAGTGTTATAATATAAAAAAAATGAAAACAGCAATGGGAAATTACATCTCGGGGGTAGTTTTAGAACAGAAATATATTTTTATTAACACTAAATTACAAACATGTTTATGTAGCAATTATATATCAAGTCGTCTTTAATTTTTTATTAAGAACAATTCATTTTTAAAATATGGGTCTAATATCTTCTTACTAGGAACAGAATATCCACCCATAATGAACATAATTTAGAAGTAGAGTGATTGATAAACCAAATCAATTATAGCTGGAGATGCCAATTCCAGTACGCTTCTTGGCAGTCACATTATTCCCTTCTAATGCAAAACTGATAAAACTGATGTTGAAGGGACAAGAAGGAGCTTTGTAATTTTTTATCTGTAAGGAAAAATTGGCAGTTGCCTTAGAATGGTTTTATTTTGTCTTGTTCTGGAGCAACACTAACAGAATTAAAATAAAAAAAGGTTGGAACTGATCAAACTTGTTAAAATAATAGGGTCACTTGCAAAACACCTTAGCTATTTTAATATATTCAGGCAATTTAAAAATTCTTGCGGGTCTAAACCTAAAACGTAACTATAAACTTAAAATATTTTTTACTTTAAGAGCAGTGTCATCATGGGTCCTGCTAGTTCAAATTTCCTTTTGTTTACTTTTTCTGTTATCTACAGGTAAAAGCAGCAGGTACTGTCTGTGAGTAAAACGTTATGTTAAATGCAGCATCCATATATCTCTAGCTTTTGATGCAAGCTTATAGCTGGTAGAGAGGAGTAACCTGAAAGAATGCAAAGCTTAAATCACACCTTTCCTGAGAAGCATATGTGGGCAGCCCCCGTTGGCCTCCTTCTGAAAAATGTAATTGTCTGACTGTTTTTCTGACCCACTGGCTTCAATACTCCCCAAGTTACAAACCTGGAACAAGTATGCAATACAGGAAAGTCAGATCTCCTTATCCGCATACTTGTTTTGGGTCAGTGACTTAAACTACTAAAGCCAGAGACAACATTTGCAAAATGTGAAGGTAGCAACCGATGCCTCCATGTTTCTCCAAGGAAAGGTCTGATTAATGAGACTGTTTTTCTGCAGCTTAGCCATAGCCTCAGTGCATTTTGTTTTGAATATGCTTCCTAATACTGAACTGGAGGCACAGTGCATATGAAAAAAGATAATTATATATATTTAGTGTATATATATATATATATAGTGTGTGTGTGTGATAAGTAAATCATCAATATTGGATCAGATAAAACAAAGTATAAGTAACAGTTGCTGGAAAGATTAAAAATTAATCACATTGCAGTGGTGATCTTCAAGTGAATTTTACAGTTTTACACACTTGCTCATCCATATTTTTATTTATGTATTAAATTAAATGTAATAAATGACAGACAGGGAGCAATACATTGTTTTCAGTGGGTCGCATTGTGAGAAGGAGCAGTAAAGTACAACAATTGTCTAGCACTTCAAAATAGGAAGCAGAATTGAAGTATGTAGTGAGAACATAGAGCGATTCCAATGTATGTACATACTTAGATTCAGAAACAAGTTTAAAAAACAAAACAAAATGATCTACGATTTAGAACATGTTAATACCGGTACTCCCCAATTAAGATATTGTTTTTACACTTTTATTTACCACCATTTCACTTTGTATACTCCATATCTTATATATCTATACGATACAGTGTATATCATATCCTACATATTATTTTTTTTTTTGATCAAGCAATGAACAAGAACTAGTTAAAATTAAAGATTGCTAGTATAACCTCACCATTCACTATGACTTGGATATCCTTGAAGTTGATCTCTCCACGTGCAAGAATCCGGCCCTCACATCGATAAGTCCCTTCATCTGTCTTTTTAATGCCCCGGATTTGCAAGTAATTGTTGGACAGCATAACAAATCGAACTGTGGAGAGGTGAACACAGTGAGGAACAAGTGTAACAAGTGCAGAAGATAAGACAGTGTTATAGATTGTTGAGATCAATACGGATAGCAATTGCAAGAAAGCTTTGGTGACCCAGCTTATCACAGTTGCAACCCCAAACATGCAATTTCTGCCTGTTACTCCATAAGATAATATGTCCCTCACTTTCTTTCCCTGTGACACCAAGGCAGAAAATTAGGGAAATGGGTGTTAATGGTCATGTAGACACAGGCGCCAGTAAAAAGAACTGCCAGAGGCTCTAACTGTGCCCTAGTCTACCATAAAGACTGATTCTGTTTCTCTGCCCATCGGAGGTGCTCACCATTAATTTCTGTCCCTATGGCAACAAGTCACCAGTCCAGAAAGTGAATGGAAATATCTCCAAGGTAGACACTAGCAGTAACATGAATTTAGCAGACTCTTAAGTTTTCCGCACTCTGTCAAATGCTAAAAACCTTATGGCCTTAAAGCTAAACTCCAGCTGCAAAAACGTTCATGTATATACTTTATATTCCTCAACAGACACCAAGGATAAATCCACTTTGTGTGCACCAAATGCCTTTGCAAATCTTGATAGTACTTTATGAATGCAGCAGTGACATCAACACTGTGCTGCACATAGCCTGTGCAGAGAACAGAGTTGTGGGAGGGGCTTGGCAATTTCCATCAACTACAAGCTGCCTGCAGAAAAATACAGGAGGGGGATAAAAGACCAGTCACCCTGCACAAGAAGGGAGAGCAGCAGTGGCCAGTCTTTATTATAGGAAGCTCCTGCGCAAAATTTGCTGCACAAATCTGGAAGAAATACACAAAGCTCAAGAAGATTCACATACAAATACACATGCCTCTTGTATTTAGATAATATTTGTTTATCCCATTATTTGCTTACACAATATATACTAAAGTGACTGCTGCCTCAAGCGGACTTCAGGCATTGTTCCTGCCCACTGGCTCTAAGCCTACCCCTGCTGTACTTAAGTCTTGCTCTCTTCCACAAGGGTTAGTGGCATGTGAGTCATCATCTGAACCTCATTTGTTCCATATCCAGCCAGCGAAATAAAAGACAACATATTGGTTCTATATATCCTCGACTACGATCAGCAATATACAGAACTCTATACTCACCGTCTTTCTTAAAAGTAACATCTCTGCCTCCATGTTTCCAGGTGATAATTGATGGCATAGAACTTGATACATCACAAATTATAACAGCATCCGTTCCCTCATTAAACTCTTGTGGGGTGGGTGCATACTTGAACGTCAATTTCTCTGTAAAAAAATACCAAATTTGTCAATAATTATGTCTGTATATCAATACAGGACCACAGCTACCTTTAGAGGGGAATTATAAGGCACTAAAGTTCATTAATGGCAAACCCCAGGCACATAAGTGCAACTATACATTTATCAAAAACAGTAAATGTATTTTCAAATGCAGATAGCATAAGTACCTAATTTATCCTTGGCATTAACTCCTTGTAAGCCCCTGTACAGAAGCACTCAGACTGGAAGAGGAAGGGTCAGAATTCTGAGCTTATTATAGTCTGCTGTAGGCAAGGGACATGATAACAGGAGGAGAGAGGGGCAGATGAGTTTAATAACCTTCTGCTTCTCGTTCAATGTCCAACTAGAGCTAGGGTCCAGGAAGGTGGCACGCCTGGTTTTCTTAATTACATTACATTAAACTGAGGTCACCAATCTGGCTCTGTTGCATTATCAGTAAGTAAGGTAAGACTGTCACTTTTCACTTGCTCATCTTGCCATGTTTTCATGTTGGTATTTTTGTACCAGACAATGCAAAGGGCACAGTCATCACTCAGCAATCAGTTAAACATTCTAAAAGGTAATTACAACTCACTAGTGTTCATCAATCATATAATTTGCCAAGCTGCAACATGTATTTAATTAACACTAGTCCATTGGCATGGCTTTGCAGTCGTTGTTGACCTTGGCAGGCAATCAGAACAGATTTAAGACATAAGTAGGCCAGGGGCAAAGATAATTCTAGTGTGGTACTGCAACCTTTAAAAAAAACATCATGAAGCTTTACATTTCTAACAAACTGCACCTTGTAGAAGCACCAACAATTTTGAAACATAGAAGGCTTTTAACAATGTTGTTGTTTTTCATTTGATGCTTAGTAGCACCAATAAATCTGGGTGAGGGTCTTGTAGTGGACAGATATAACATTTTAACAAAAGGTATTAAGAATCATATTAAACTAAATGGTATTGCCTCTCTTTAAAACAGAGGATTCCTGAATATATAGACTACCAGACCTCAGAATTTTTTTTCCCTTTTTGAAGTTTTATTAAAATGGCCTTTTAGACAACACTTGGAGCATATTTATTGAATGAAGACACCTAGGCCCCTTCACCTGCCTCAGTTTGCCAGCATTTGCTGTCCACTCGATGGTACTCTTCATATTTATAGAAACCATATTCTTTTTCAGCAGCAGATGTGGGGGGGTGAATGGTGACATATGTGCATGGGAATTGTAAGAGTAAAATCTTCACAAGCAGGGCAGTGAATGTCTGGTGTATGTACGTAGATATAGGTGGTAGTGATTGAAATGGACAAATATTGCATAGTAATTAAAGGAGAACTATGAGGTGAGTGAAAATCACTCATCCTCATAGTTCGAGCCGACGTGTGACAATGAAACTGTCACACGTCGGCTGAATAGATCGGGAAGTGATCGAACACATAGGGGTTGATTTACTAACCTTTTAAACACACCACGAACGTGTATACACCTCTGTAGTGTGTTCCCTCCCAGCATGATCTATGGGAGGAATCGAAACACCTTTGTAGTGTGTACACACCCAGCAGGTGTGTTGTTCAAAGCCCTGCAATGAATTGCAAGGTAATGTGGTGTAAATTAGCTATATGTTATGTTGCTTGCGTTGATGAATGCAGGAAATGCAGGAAAATGTAAATGCATGAGCTAACCATTTTTGTCTAAACTGTGAAGCAGCATTATATATGCATCATGTGCATGATTTTTCCATATATGGCATTAGTGGAAATATGCTTTTAGAGACTTTTTGGTTGATAAATACGTTTTGCTGTGTGAAAATCACACACACCTGGTGTGTGTGTGTGTGTTTAGGTTAGTAAATCAACCCCATAGCGTCACTCGCTCACTTCTCGATCATCTGCCTGCAGAGAGCAATGACTGTCAGTCACGGCTCCCTGCAGGGATTCCACCCCCTCCCCGCTCCGATCCTCCAGCGCTGACTGGAGGAACGGACGGGGAGGAGGTAGGTACAGCTGGCTCTGCCTCTAGATAGGCAGGGCCCGCTGTCACTCTCGCAGCTGGGTGGATCTTGACAGTAATGCCGGGATCCGTCCCTGCTGCTGAGGTCTCAGTATACGGCGAGCTGTAGCTCGCGATATACTGAGCTTTGGGTCATGGGAGGACGCTATTAGATGTCCTCCCGTGGCTCTCAAGAGAACTATGGGGAAAAAAACTTACCCCATGGTTCTCTTTTAATGTGAAAACACTGAAAATAAAATAAAATATTCCTCCGTCTAAAAATGGTGATTGCACAAAAGTGAGCAAGTAACAAACAGTTTTTCTTTTAAATCACATAAAAATATAGCAGGACTGTAAAACTGGGCTGCAAAATACAGTGGATGCTGAGAGTGGGTTTTCCTATTGAAAAATGCAAAATGAAGATGCGCTGCAAATATGACTCAATCTAGCAGATGAGCTGACTTTGGGTAGTAAACACAGTGTATAGTTATAGAAGAAGATCCTAGTGGCGAATAGTCACCGAATGGTTAGTCAACTGTTTAATAAACTTGCTCCTATGAAATGCAGCAGAATAATTTCTACTTATGGGGGGCAACATTTACATAAACTAATACTACAGCAAAAAAATATTTGCAGAAACGTTTTAATATCTCTATAATGGTTGCTAACACATCGACTCTTAGTCTATGAACAATACTTTGAAGAGCTTACGATAAAGCTGTAGTTTAACAGTGCTTTCCTCCCGTCCTTCTGGACTGCTAGCGATACATTTGTAGGTCCCGGCATCTTGAATGCTGGCGTTGTATATAGTAAGAGTGGATGAATAGTCATCACTTTTCACAACTGAGATCTGTTGTTGGGTGGTCAGTCTTTCTCCGGTAGGTGATTCCCAGTAGATCTCAGAAGCTTCGCCAGTTACTAAGACAGAACAGAGAAAAAGATACAACTGTTAGTTGCTTTACTATTTCCTTATACTGGTTGGCTACAATTTTAAGAACAGAGATTCCATGTCAATGTTAATACAAAGAAAGAGCGAAAGAACGGAATGCTAAATTTTAGCTCATTTAAACAAGAACCAAGGTTTTGAAAAGAAATGTATTCAGAAAGAATTAAAAAAAAACACTTCTGATATCACATTGCTGTGATGCTCTAAGTCTAATCCATGTGATAAGGAGATCTATATCCTTGATGGGAAAACATATCACAAGCTCTGCACAGGCAGATCATGCTGCTGCTGGAGGAGGTGTAAGGATTTCATATCAAGAGGTCCCTGCAATGCAGGCACAATAAGAAATGTTATATTTTTACATGTTTTTTTTTTCCATTTTCTCATCAAATTCCCCTTCACAGATAACCCTGGGGTGGAGGTTAAAATTAACAAATACAATTTAATAAAAATAACACCCCTCCACTGTGATATGATCTCAGGCATGATATACTGTACATATACCATAAGATAACCTTTAAAATACACATGTACCAGAAAAGAAAAGCCAAACACCAGAGTGATGAGGATAAATCTCTGACCAAATCTTTAGGAACTGACATTTCCAGGACTGCTGATCTCCTGTGTCCCTCACCATGCTCAGTAGTGCCTCCTGCAGAACCCTACATCATTACAGGACACAATAGAGATGTAGGAGTCAGCAGGAGGAACCACTAAGTGCATAGGAGAGACTGCTGAAAGTGGAGAGACTGCTGAAAGTGCCAGTTCCTGCAGACACTTCAGTGGAAGATTTCTGGTGTTTGATGGCACATGAAGCATGAACAATTAATATTCACTCTCTTCTTTACAGGAACATCAGGGACAGGGACAGAGTCAATTTAATGTTGCATAACTGACTCTATCTTATCTTATGGAATTAATCTGTTTTGAAGATACATACCTTGACATAAGAAGAATTTAGATTCTCCCAGGCCTATTTCTCCTTGATCAGGAACTATTGTAACTTCTAGAGCTGCTGTAATAGAAAACATAAAAAAATATTAGTTGTATTGTTACCCTAAAATATCAACATCAAAATAATAATGTATTTTGAAGAATGAAAGAATAAATGCACTTTTGACACGACACAGATAAATAAAGGTGGGTTCACACTGTTGTGGTGCTTTAGTATGTGCAGGTTAATGCCCGTTATGTGGCACGTTAATGTTAATATTCAGCCTATTCTGCCTGATGCACTAAAACACACCAAGACAGGTGCATTACCTTGCATTGTGGGAAGCTACAGCGCAGACACACTGGCAAGGTGCGCTGGGGTGCTATAATATAATGCCTTAGCTAATGTGTGTTTTGTTGCAGTGCAACAGTGTGAACCCATGCTGTGGAAGTAAATGTGCTGAATAGTGTATTGATGGGGAAGACAGAGACCTGAAGTGAATGACCCCTTAAACCTTTTACTTTCCTGCTGGTAGTAATTGAACAAATTCAGCTGTTCAGAAAGCTCCCAATCTAATTTTCCAGTCATTGTGATGTTCAGGCATAGCAGTGAGCAAAGTGAAAAATAACTGAAATTACAACTAAAGGCTCTTGTATGATAGGCTAAACAAATGACAAATCCAGTTACTCTGTGATGGACAAGTATCGTAAAATAAACACAAAACAATGGTGAAAGCCAAACTCTGCTCTGAATTCAGGAGCAGTGCAGCATTGTTGCCACACCATCACAGGAAGTTGCATCAGATGGACTTCTGGGGGACTTTGCAGAGGATTTAGATAAAACTGTAAGTGCAGCTTAATTTATAATTAAAGTGCTGCAGCACATATATGTACTGTATATAATGGGGTACCACAGTTCTACTTTAAAGGATATATGAACCCAAGAACAAAAATAAGAATAACATTGTAATGTATTACAGATCACCAGACCTCAAATGTGGTGGCTGCATACATTTTCTTTTTTTTCTGGCTTTATCCTTAATTTCTAACTGGTGATCCTACCAGTAACACAATTCTGCCCTAGGGTGACAATGCTGTATAAGTAAGAGTACAGACACATGCCCTCATCTCTGTAACATAATGGGGGTTGTGTAGTTCACAGAGGCTTACAATATTGTTTTCCATCAATACGTTAATGGCAAAACATCCACATCACACCATATATAGTATGTTGTTAATTATGAGTTAAACTAAACTCAGGAACTCAATTACAGTAAACTCCCCATTATCCGGCATTCAAGCAACCAGCACTCTGAAGCCACCTGGATTTTTTCTTTTTTTGAAGGTGGCTTGATGCATACTAACAAATTGTCAGTTGCTTGGTACACGCAAATTTATTTTGTATTTTGTTGCTAATACAATTATTGGTTTACATTCTTTGTTTACATTCTGCTGTCAACCGTGGCTAGATTCTACAGTCGGCAGCAGAATGTAAACAATGGGGAGCAATAGCCAGCCTGCTATGGGCTATTGCAAATTGCAATAGCCCATAACAGGCTGACTATTATACCCCTGCCCACTGAGCAAAGGAGTGGACCTGGGAGAGAACTTTTTTTATTTTTAAAACAGTGGTATGGTCTTAGTGAGGATGCTTTTTTTAAATGAGCCACTTAAATACGAATTCTAGCCAAGCATCTAAATATACAGCTAAACTACATATGGCAAACTTTGCATTACAGCACAGAAGGGTCCTCTTTCACCAGTGCAACACCATCACAGCTTAGTCAAGAACCCTGGTCAGAACATTCTCCAAGCTTCTCATTGGATAATAATATGCAATACTCAGTAGGGTGCTGCTGAGGTTACCTCCCTGCTCACTCCTCCTGTCAGCATGTTCACTCTAACCACAGAAGCAATATAATGGAGTCTAATTAGCTCAAAGTGCTGCTATAGTTCTTGGGAAACAAAATTTGTAATCTGTGATGTGGATGGCTTAATCTACCAAACCAACATGATGATGGAAAATAAGAGGCCACAGAGCGATAGTGATAGCATGGAAATCTAAATCGTGTACTGTTCACCTTTGTAGGTAAGGTAAAAAATGAGACATTAAGGTAATACAAAAGTACCAGATATGTTCAGTTTATAAGGGTTCCTATCATACTTAAAGTGTAACTCTATCTGAAAGTAAAACATGATGGAAGCTGTTGTTTTAAGTGAATGTACAAACTATGATTATAATCATTATTATTATTATTATTTTATTCATTCAAAACATGTACAGTAACACTCATGCTGAAGTTCAGTTTTAGAATGCATTAACAGAAGGATTATTTGTAAACTGGACATTGCTGGGTAAATCAGTCCCATTGTTAGCTGCCACCCTAACTATTTTCAGAACAGATTGACAACTTGCTACTGATTGCATAAAAAAAATATATTAACTTCAAGCATCACAAGTGATACAACTATTTTGATTTCTTTTATGTGGCAAATAAGTTGCGCTCGGTCTAGTTGTGAATGGATGTGAAAGTGCTCTCTCAAAACCCAAAGGGGGAGATCACCTTCAGATAACATTTCCTTTTTAAAAAAATGTAAAAAGGTAGACTTTCCTGGGACAGATTCCAGCACAAGACCTCTGGACTGAAGATCCGTGAAAGAGATGTTACAGCAGGTAGTGTAAGGAAAGGTCGCAGTGAAACAAAATGGCTCATCAGTAGAATCTAATTAGAAGGGAAAGGATTTTGAAGTATAGAGCGCAACAACAGCAGTGTCAGCTGGTGAGGCTCCCCTTAGGTCTGAATAATGGGAATCACCATGGTGATGGAACATTGAGTTAAAGGTTCTGTGTCTGTACTGCCTCTCTGATCTCATCTCTAGCTGACTGCAAGTAATTAAGGTTGTACCCTGTGGGATGCTGCCGAAATGACAATATCATACAAACACTGCTCCTGGGCTCACAGATCATTGCAAGAAAAGACATTATATGTTACAGGTGGCCTCTTTATTCTGTTTTTTTTTTTTTTTTTCATTTTTACACACACTACAAACCCTTTTTCCCGTAATACCCACAAAGTGCTAGCATCACACAATGTAATGGAAGGATATCAACTTTAATGTTGCTCTCTAATTTGTTTTTCAATCTATGATTATAGAATGAAAAAGATAAGAAAATGAAATATCCTGTGGTGATCAAATTAGATGAGTGCAAGCTATTCTTAAGGGACAAGCTATCTGGAATCCATCATATTAAAGGATTAAATGCCCAAACAAGGTTGCATCTGTTTATGTTGTTCATCCAGTGCAGTGGTTTAAGTATGATCTCTGTCTTTTGAAAACGTATCAATTTGTTTGGAGCTACCTTTTACCATAGAAACAACTGGCCTGGCTCCTGCATTAGAGTCTGGTCTACAGAGGGATAATTAGGTCATTCCTTCTACATTCCATTTTTGTCTCTTTCAGCCAATGCAGAGAATGAATTAAGAGACATATAGTGGCGCCAATTGTTTGCCTTCTGAGAATGTTAATTGCCTGAGTGTTTTTGCTGACCATCTTTGACACTTTCCGAGTCACTGGACTGAAACAAGTATGCAGATCATAAAGGTCAAAGTTCTTATCTTGGTCAGTAACTCAAAGTACTGCAGCAAGGGATTTGACAAGACAGCCAGGTACCTAACATTTGCAGAATGAGACATCAGGAACAGCATCCACCATTTGTTGCCTCTTTTTCTGGGGTGGTTTAAAATAAAAAGGTATACACATCTAGATTTGGATTTACAGCAGTTTAGTTAGCCCCATTCACAGTGTCTAGTGTGCAGCTCATGCGATAGTTGAATGGACCATCTTTAAATTTAGTCTCAGTTGTAACTGTACATATTGTGGCCCTGAGAGTCCAGGGTATAGTCTGGGATAGCATATACTTTCCACCCAGATTAGGGCAGTAGGAGCTTGTGACAGGAGTCTAAATTCCTGTGGCCGAGAGCTCCTGAGTCTAGCAAATTGAAGGGTTGGCCTGACCACCACACTGCACTAGTCAACTCTATGCTATGCATCCTGGAGGAAGCTACTAATGGTCTGTTAAAAAGGAGAGAGTTCCACACTGAGAGGAAGAAAACTGAAAAAGTGTGCTCCATGTTACTCACAGCCTGGTAGAATGTATACAGGTGAAGGGGCTCTGTGTGCAGCTAACAGACACCATACAGCACATAGTTGTGTAGGACATATCACCTGTTTGGGAAATAACTTGTTGTACTGACTATAATAGATAAATAAAAGCGGAGATGACTCCCCTAACACTGAAGTTTGGTGAGTAAATTGCTTTTCATTTCCTTACTGTATGAAGCTGAATCCCCTCAATATGTCCAAATTTAATGCAATGGACTACTTCCAAAAGTAGGGATTCCACATCATTTAGGGAGGTTAAATAGAGGGGGTCTGAAAAAAACCTCAGTGTATACTAGGCCTGCATACTGTATAGGCTTTACATTCTACACATAGCAATCTTTTTTTTAAAATGTATTTATTTTTTTTCCTTGTAGATAGGTTCTTGACTGGAAAACAATTAACATTGATAAGATCAGGCAGGCAATCCTGTGGAGCATGGACTAATTTGGAAGCTGCTTTACCACACTTCTGCAAAAAACCAACAAAAAAAAAACCTGTAGCGGTGTGATCGATGCAAGGCCACCGGGTCAAAACTCTGCAGCAATGTGATTGATTAGTTAATGAGTTACTTGAGAGAAGTCTCCAAAAAACAGGCTGCTCAGTTCTGAAGCAAGTGACTTCATTAACCCAAAAATAAAAAAAAATAAAGCACTGAGCACAAAGCTTTTTCCTTAGTTGTCCTTATGTGGAATAGACTTGAGGAACTGTTCAGGTGATTGTTCACAGGAATTAGATGCCTATTTAAATGGAAGTCTAATGGGAAGAACTAAAACTATTGGCATAGATCTCAAATGCAGAACAACATTAGTGCTATAGAAGAACATGTTTGACAAGAAACAGCTCTCGGTGGATTGCAAGTACTAAATAAAAGAGTTTGCTATAAGAGAAGTACTATTAAACCCTCGATTAAAAAATATT